TAGGATTATCTTCACTTCCTCTACAGAAGGAGGTTGGCCAACCGTGAATTGTTTTCGGTGATTTCAGTGAGATTTCTGTATGGAAATAAAAATCAAGGAGGTAACTTAAGGCCCCAACCCCCAACATTGCATGCAAAACAGCCTCTGCACCATTCTCAATGTATACGGTCGCCGTAGAAATCTGCCGACCATATTAAGATATGTATCTACAAATATACGGAGTATACATATCTATACACATCCCCTCTCGCTAGGGTTCTCTCCTCTCGGTGCCCGCCGCCCTTGAGAATACCATCGACGCCGATCTCCCTTTCTCGCCCCGACGCTCGGGCCAACCACGGGGCAACCTCCGCGTTGCTGCCCGGCCTTGGCTAGGGTTTGGGAGGAAACGCTCTAGTGCCGCCTCGTCCCTCGGGGAGCCTAGGGTTCTACAAGAACATGAGGAGTGCGTGGGATTTAGCGCAACCAGTGAAATTCAGATCTTTGGGTGATAATCTATATACTATGCAATTTTCTTGTTTGGGAGATTGGATCAAGGTGATGGAGGGTGGTCCGTGGGCTTTTAGAGGACAGCCAGTGGTGCTTGCGGTCTATGATGGTTTCACAAAGCCATCTCTCATCGATTTGAACAGCTTCAAAATCTGGATCCAAATACATGATTTGCCCGATGGGTATGGTCCTTTGGTAAAACCCCTGGCTGCTAAGGTGGGGGCGGTGTGCAAGGATGAAGATGACCCTGGAGACTTTGCTGGTAATTTCTATAGGGCTAGGGTTACCCTGGATGTGAGGAAGCCTCTTAAAAGCCATGTCTCCATCGTGAAAAAGCAGAAAAGGCAGATTTTTAAAGTAAAGTATGAACGTCTTCCGGATTGGTGTGCGGTCTGTGGCATGATTGGTCACTTATATACGGAGCATGGAGATGGTGTTCATGACAAAAAAGCATTGATTTCCAGAGAGCTGAGAGCAGCTTGGAGTATGAGGGGAGGAAATAGAGGAGGGGGTCGAATCCAGGAGACGGGTAAGAACTCTGCAAAAACAACGTCTCAGGCTGCTGCTATGGACTTAGATAAACGAACAGAGAATGAGCTTCAGGACGGAGATTTGAACAGAAAGAGGGGAGTGGATGCAAGTGCCTCGGGGCTAGATCCCCCTAAGGATGTTTTGTCCTTGCCAGGGCCGGGGACTGTTCCAGCAAGTCCGCCGCCGAAGCAAGATTTGAAGAGACCAAAATCAGATAACTCAAGTAAGGCCGTGGCTACTACCAATGTGCAAAAGAATTCCTCATCTTTGGCGGGCTCCCATGAGGAGTGCCGCCGAAATTAATGGATCTCATGAGTTGGAACTGCCGGGGGGGGGGGGAATCCCCGGACAGTTCGCGAGTTAGCGACGCCAGTGCAGTCGCATTCCCCCAGGATGGTGTTTTTGTGTGAGACAAGACAGAAAAAAGATAAAATGAGGAGATTGAGAGGCCGTCTAGGTCTGAAAGGCTTTAGTAGTGTGGACAGCAATGGCCTCAGCGGGGGCCTTGCTCTTTTTTGGCATGAAAATCTGCTAGTGGATATTCTGGACAAGGATGATCGATACATTGATGTGGTGGTTCGTTTACATGCTGACGCCGAACCATTCAGGATAACCTTTGTGTACGGGGAGCCGTGTGTTGAGAATTGTCATCTTATGTGGCAGAAATTTCAATCCCTATACACAACCTCGGATCTTCCTTGGCTGGTAATTGGGGATTTCAATGAGTGTCTATGGGATTTTGAGCATTTGTCGGCAACACCAAGACCTGAAGTACAAATGACAGCCTTTCGGGATGTGCTGGAGGTATGTCAGCTGGTGGATATCGGTTTCTCAGGTGTGTCGTTCACATATGATAATAAGAGAAGCGGGACAGCAAATGTGCGTGTACGGTTGGATCGTGATGTGGCCTCGAGTGCGTGGCGTAATATGTTTGCTTTCTCTTCGGTGTCCCATGTGGTGTCACCCTGTTCTGATCACGTAGTTCTTGTCCTTAAGGGCGCTCCGGATCCTAGACCAAAAACAGGACAACAACGCCAATATGAGATTTTTTGGGCGAGAAGTGGCGAGCTACCCGAGTTGGTACATCAAGCCTGGGAGCCGGCAGGCTCCATTGGGAACCTTGAACAATTACAGTCAGCCCTGAAGAAGACCATGTCGACTTTAGGTATTTGGACTAGGAAGAAGTTTGGTAATATCACCCGTGAGCTTGCCAAGTCCAGATCATAACTAGAGGAACTAATGAATATGAATGTTGATCCTCAGGATATACGGCGAGTAACTAATAGAATGAATGAATTACTATACCAGGAAGAGATGCTATGGCTCTAAAGGTCGAGAATAAATTGGTTGAAAGAGGGGGATAGGAACACGAAATACTTTCAGAGTAAGGCAGTTTGGAGAGCTCGCAAGAATAAAATCCGTGAACTTGTTGATGACAGTGGGGTTGCACATTCAGACGAGACGACAATGAGAAAGATGGCTAACGAGTACTTCCAAGGAATGTACACGGCTGATCTGAATCTCATCCATACTCCGGTTTTGAGTCTGTTTGATGCATTGATCTCTGATGACGATAATGCTAAGCTATGTGCTCCTTTCAGCGACGAGGAGATTGCAGATGCCCTC